GGGTCAGCTGGCATGAGATATTTTTGTTTTTTGTTTAAGTGCGGTAGTTTTTAAACTGTTTTTAAACAAACTGTAGAACTCTTCATTGTCAGCAAAGTGAAGAGCCACTGCATCAATGAAAGTTCAAGAACCTTCTGTACTTAAACACGATTTGCAACGTTCTGTTATTTTTTTTGTATGTTTAGAATGCTGAAATGTTTTTGAAGTTAAATAAACAGTATTACATTTTTAAAACTGTTCTCAATTATAACAGTCAATTTCTGACTCACAGCAGTGAACAAACCCCCACTCCGTTGTATTTGGAGACTGGCCTCCCTGTGAATGTGGTAGCTTCCTTTATTACTCAGTGGCCAGCTCACTTAGGGCTGAGATGAAGGAGAGGGCTACTTGAAGCTACTGTGTGCTTTTGTTTTTGTCTGAGTGGCATTAAGATGAAGTCTGGAGGAGCTAAGAGAAGGGCATAGGTGAGGTTCAACAGCCTTCCAAGGTACAGGAAGGTGGATGATGAGGACTAAGGCTGACTGACTAGGTTTAACTTTTTTTGTTCCACTTCCACCCCCTATTTTGTGTGCCAAATGTATTGCTAAATAGCAATTTCAGACCGTCTGGCCTTTCAAAAATTCAGGCCTTTGTTTTCCTCTTTCACACCTACCCCTGTGCTCCTGGCACATGTTATTTGTGGTGCTCAACATTTGGGGTCTTGAGCCTGCTGCTTGTCTCCTGGACACCAGTGAGTGAGGTGAGGGTATGTGGGATGGGGTGGGTGGGGTAGGAGACAGTATCCATGTTGCTCCTACTTTTTCAAAACTCCAAACCCCCAAGGAAGATTGTAGGCTCCATCTTGGGCCACCTGAGCTATAGGGCAGGCTAATAGAATCAACCATTTCTAAGCACTAAATGTGTCATGAAAAGTTGAATGGCCTACTCACAAGATTAGCTCATTCACTGGAAATGTAGATTGATGTTCAATGTTTTTAAACTGGAAGAAGATTGGTTTGTGTGTCAGTGGTTGTATTAGTGGGTAGTGTAACATTTTCTCCAGGTTGGAGTGAGGGGAGATGGCCACAATGGCAAGTGGTGACACTAAATGCCATTTTGAAGGCTGATGTGTACATACATCATTACTGTCTGTAGCAATGAAGGATACGGTACTGTGTTGTCGCTGAGTGTCGCTATTGCCCAGCATTAATATTTGGGTGTGGATGTTTGAGGCTATGAGACATGCAGGAGTGTTTTTGTGGTATTTTAAGAGAAAGCTTTTTCTTAAAATTCATTGTTCAGAAACTTGCATTTCTGGAGGTGGTGTCCTCTCCATCCTGTCGGGTCCTGGATGAGTACAAGTTATGGTCATGGTCACAGCCTGATCTCTATGTATTCATAGCCATTCCATCTCCCATCAGAACTGTTTGTCCTGAATGTGTTCTCTAGTTCTAGAAAATGACCACTAATTTAAAAAAACTTGGTTGTGAGGTTTGCCCAGAGGCACTTGTTCTGGAATTGCCCCTCCTGCTTAAGCCATGTCCTTGTCACTTGGCATTGTAAGCTAAAGCTTCTGCTTCCCAAACCATGATGTGCTAGGCCAAGATCTGGGAGCTGTGGCCAGCCTTGTCAAATGTGGAAGAGAAACAACCTGTAGTAAAAAAGGGATTTGTTAAGTGGTGCCTGTCTACTTTGTAACTAGACATACCAACCAGGGAAGGGCAAAGGATGGAAAAGTGTAACTTGTGCTTCCAAAGTAGCTAAGCAGAAATAGGGAAGCAGTTTAGCCAAATGATTTTTGATTAGGCAAACACTGAGTTTTAAAGAGACTGTCAAGTTGAGGCCACTTGGTCCATTAGCTGGTGCAGCCAAGACCACTACCCAGCATTTTCATACTGTCACAAAATTGCTCCTCTAATGGAATAATGCCCTAGTTTCTCTTGAGATGCTGTAAGTGGCATGTTACCTAAGGCATAGGCTTAGCTTGATTGCTGGGCTCACTGTGTTCTTAAGATGCCAACCTGTTGCTTTCCCCCCCCCCCCATTTAAGAAGATAGTACCTGTTCCCTCTAACCACCTCACCCCATTCTTGAATGACATTTTTTCCTTTGGAAAGAACAAGGCTGTGATGAAGTGACTATTGTCCGTGTCTCCTGTGTGTGTCTGTTTTGTCACAAATGTATTTGGGGACGTTGGATGCATTCATTTTTCTGTAATAAAGTTTCTTAATCACTCTTCCCAAAAAGTAATCACTGGACTGTCTGCAATCTGTTTGAGATACTGAATCTCTGTACTTTTGGTTGATTATAATCAAGGTTTTAAAAGTACAAACTTTGTGTTAACCATAGATCTGAACTAACATTTACTGGAATGATACTATCAAAATGTTGCAAGTGTTAAGGACTCCAAAGCCTCAAGTTCAACCTCTTGGCCAGAGGCATAAGAGGGGGAGTTGGTTCTGAAGCCCTGGACTGGGGATAAATGGGCAATTTGCAGGATGCTAGTAAGCTACTGTTTGATAAAGTGGTTAATAACTTGTAATCAGCCAGCCCTGCCCACCAGGGCTCCTCGAGGCCAAGGGTCTGGGCTTAGTTGGCTGACTTAGCCATGTTCAACAAGGAGTTCTGGATGAGAGCCATGGGGGCCACTTGCTGTTCTTGGCTCCCAGCTCAGTTTTCTGTGGAGCCCAGGCCTTTCTGCGAGAGAAAGGCCATTGAGCCAGATTGGCAGCCCCAAGCTTCCCTTACTGCTTCAACCAGAGCAGTCGTCCACCTTGTTTTATATGTTGGGCATCCTACGATTTCAGCTTTCAAAAGAAGCTGGGACACCATATCAATAAAAAGAGACACACATGACTATCTCAATAGACACAAAAACCTTGAAGAATGAAAAACTTTTTTTGTCATGAAAAAACTTTTTCATGACAAAAACGAGTAGAAGGGAACTTCCTGAACCCGATATAGGAGGTTTAGGAAAACCCATGTTATTCATCATCATACTAAAAGTTCTAGCCAGGGCAATTAGGCAAGAGCAAACATCCAGACTGAAATTGAGAAGACAAACCTATGTCTATTTGTAGATGATATAATCTTGTATACAGATAATTGTAATGAGTTTCCAAATAAAACTAAAAGAAATAAATGAATTCAGTTGCAGTAAACAAGATTAACATACAAAAACTAGTATTTCTATACACCAGCTATGAACAATCTGAAACTAAGAAAACAATTCTATTAAATTTCTACAACATCAAAAAGAATAAAATATTTAGGAATGAACAATATAAGTACAAAACTTATATGGGGAGAAGTACAAAACATTAAAAACCTAAGGAAATAAATATTCAACATTCATGAATTGAAAGGTTTAATATTGTTAAGATTGCAATACTCCTGAAATTGATCTAGAATGCAATCCCTATCAGGATCCCAGCTGGCTTCCTCTAGTAGAAATCAGGCTGATTCTAAATTTCATATAGAAAATCAAGAGATGCAGGATGCTCAGATCAATCTTGAAAACAGTTGGAGGATTCACATTTCTTGATTTCCAAACTATTTTATTAAAACCTTTTTTTTTGAGACAGCGTCTTACTCTGTCGCCCAGGCTATTGTGCAGTGGCACGATCACAGCTCATTGCAGCGTCAACCTCCCAGGCTCAACTGATCCTTCCACCTCAGCTTCCAGGTAACTGGGACTACAAGTGTTCACCACTGCACCTGGCTTATTTATTTATCCTTAAATGTGCTTTTCATTATTCTAGATTAAGTGGATACAAGTGCAGATTTCTTACATGCATATATCATGTAGCGGTGAAGCGTGAGCTTTCA